GCTGGAGACAGAGGGTGAGCACTTTAGGAGACATGTCTGGAGATGCTTGGTTTGGGATTTCACCTGCATTCACATCCATCAAATAATCACTGTCTACGACTGCGGTTGGCAGGCATGATCCCTGCCCAGGCAGTGTGCTTTTGGCCAGTGCTTTGGAGTGTGAATTTTCATTCCATGTAAACTTCTGCCCTGCATAACATCACCTTTTACGTGGATGATGTGCTCTCATATTTGTAACCTCAGAAGAAAAACATAGCAATCTTGCTATGACCTTTTATCTTCTATTTTGTATTTTTTTTTTGTACAGTGTTTATTAAATTGATCATACATTTGATCTTGAGGAGGGCTGTTTCTCCTTTGACAATCATATTTATCATTGTCCTTATGAGGATTTCTATTCTCCTTGTTTCAACATGGGAAACTGGACGCACATACCACACTACATTACACCAGAAGTGACTAGAAAATACATAATCTCTGTATTAAAATGTTTCTCTTTCTTAACTCTGCCTTTGCATCTTGCTTTCTTGGATAGCCTTAAAGATCTAGGCTGTATGTCTTCAGTCTGACTTTTTCCTGAAAGACTACAAATGGGAATTTGGATTACAGATCAAATAGTCCCTGTTTTGCAGTGAGGGAAGTCGAACACTGCAACAGGCTGGCAAGGGATGTGGTGGGTTGTCCCTTCTTGTTGGTATTTCAGGCGCTGATGGACATGGTCCTGAGCAACCTGCTCTAGGTCATCCTGCTTAGAGCAAGGCACTGGGCTAGATGATCTCCAGAGATCCCTTCCAACCTCAACCACTCTATGAAAATCCATTTTTTCCTCTAATTGCCACCTGTGTGTGTGCCTTGGATTTAGTGCAACACCTTTGTAGTATCTAATGTTTTTTTTGTATTGTCTTTCTGAATTTTCCAACAATCCTTATTGCCTTTGACATTTAAACTAATTTTATCCATTTCAATTTCACTGTCATGATCTATAGTCTTCTAGGTCACTCATCAGTGTAGGATCATCAGAAAGTTCTTGTTGGAAAGGATGTCAAGAGGTTTCTAGTGCAGCACCTAGCTGAAAGAAGGTCCAAAACCTCCAAGGATGGAGAGGACAAACTTTGGATACCAGATGAATTCAAGCGTGTTGTGGGTGGTATGTCCATAGGCACATATTAACAGCTTATGCTGTTTCATTTCTGGAGATATTTTACTATTAACCTGCTGAAAATAGCCTGTGTATTCCTTCTCTATTAATACAGTTTAACCTAAGTGATTTCCAGTCTGATGCAGCTTCTTACCTTGTGACAATCAAGCTTCTCTAGCAGCCTTTTGTAAAGGCTTTATCAAAGGATTTCTGAAAGTCAACACTAATTACATATACCCGTGTTCCTTGCTGCTAATTTGACACACTTCAGGAATTCTAATAGAGCAGATCTGAGACATGACTTCTCTGTACAGAAGCCATGCTGCTTTGTCACGATGATAATTTGCTTGGTTAAGCATTCTGCACCTTTACCATGATCTAGATTTACTTTCCCATCTAATTAACCCCATTCTGTTGCCAGGACTTTCTGGTCTGTCATGATAATATTCTTTCTTTCAAACATTTTCCTTTAAAAACAGACAGAGCCTTGCCTACCCTCTACTTTTGTGAGACTGGAGCTGGGTTTCATGGTAGGCAATGTATTTTTGGTAGCAACTCAGAAGTTCCTGGAGAGCTTGGGGCAAGTGCCAACTCATACAGACAGCATGCTGCAAACCCAAGTGATTCAGATGTTCCACGAATGACTTTTTAGGCCCCTGGAGGGTTTTTCAGCTCCGGGCTGTCCCTACCACTGGACTCAGTGGCATCTCCCATCACGGACTGTGGAAGCGTAGGGCAGGCAGAGTTCCACTTTGCTTCACCGTAGTTGCTGGCCTTTATTTGCAGCTGCTTTTTTTTTTTTTTTTTTTTTTTTTCAAGGTTTCAATGGTGCTTTCCTTGCCCACAGTAGCTCTTGCCATTTGCTGGAAACTTTTGTTTCAAAGAGGCTTTTTCTGGCAAGATGGTGACCTATATGCAAACAAATGCACAGCGTGTTCTTTCAGGCTGGAGAAAGGCTTGCTAAGTCATTCTCTCTTCAGTTTGAAGAAATACCAAGTGCATAACAATGATTTCCATGAAGAATGCTCTGCAAACTCAGCATAATATCAAATTCAGCAAAAAAAGTACACATTTTGAATTAACGCTGCATGAAAGAGTTCCAGCCCTGCTTGCTTGTTCAGAGCCGAGTCTTTGCTTTTCTCTTCTTGAGAGAGGTGAAAATAAAATGATTAACAATTTACATGCTTCTGTATTCCAAAACCTTACACTGGTCTTCTCCCTTTGCACTGACCCCTTTCTCTGTGAAAACGAGCAGTGTACCTCAGAGAGCGGGGCTTTAACTTCTTGCTCCTGTCAGATAAAGCCGTCTTGGATAGGAAACACCTTGTGCCTGGGGGTCAGCGGCAGCTCATGGAAAGGAAAAGAATGGAAATCACTTCCATTGAAAGATTAAAAGCTGTTAAATTGGTGGTCCTGAACCATAGCCCTGCCCCAGCTTACCCCAGTGTAGCCTCAGCGCTGCAGCAGCACATCAGTCGGGTTTGCTAGCAGACACACATGCCAGTGGGGAAATTCACTGTGGTACTGTCATCACCTCACAGGGTGTGCAACTAATTAAAAAAAAAAAGAAAAAAAAAAAGCACCTGATGTGAGCTGTAGTTAAGAAGTAGGAAATTACTAATTAGTAACCAACTAATTCAGGGTTTGATTCACACAAATTGCAGTATTACTGTAAAAAAAGCGATTTCAAGCAAACAGTGATTTTTGTTTTAAAAAAAATAAAAGCACTGACAATATAACTGGTGTTGTGTTAATTACCTGTCAGGTTTCAGGTTTCTTGTATGTTTCGTCACCATCTGATACTTACAGGCAGAAGACACGCCTGGAAAAAAGAAAATGTAAAGCTTTCCCCATTGCATTGTCATTTGCAACTCTCAGGTTTTCCCACTAGATTGTTCTTGTAAACTCTTGCATTTCATAGCACGCAAGAGTGACCACTTAGAACATCACTGTAGCACTATCGTTAGCATCAGAGTTCAGTTACACAGAAAGCTGTGAGTGGGATGAGCCAAGTATCATTTTCTCTGTGCCTTACCGTAGTGCTAATAAAATGATTGCTTGTCAGTTCTTCTCGTTAGTGTCACTGTACGATGTAAAAAAAAGAATGGATTTTCCTCTGGCTAAGAAATCCAACATGTAGCATGAAACAACAAGATGTCTCCCTCCCGCAGCTGTGTGCAGGTAGATGAGCAGCTTTGCATCTCATCTCTGGGTGTGAAGTCAGTAAAAGGAAGGTGGATGTCGCATTGTTTGTTTTTCTGTTAATGCAGGCATTTCAGTGTACCCAGAAACGTAGGCTGAGTCAGCATGTTGTAAATCTCCATTAGAGAGATGCTGTAAGCATTCCACTAAGAACTGTGATAATATGAGAGTTCCATAATGTTGGCAAAAATAACTCTTTGGAAAGAGGCATCGTAGCCAATGGCTTATAAATACTATAGAAGTGGGAAGATGGAGTTATCATTGAGAAGTTCAGGATATATTTACAAGCAGAACGCAGGTCCTGTTAAACCCATTCTTGTCTGGATTATCACTATCTTCTGAATGACACCTTAGGAAAACAGTATCCTGGTTTGAATGCAAGAGAAATAGTTTAAGATATTTTCTATCTGCCAACGTACCTGTCTATCAATCATACTAGGAAAGGAAAATGCTGCAAAGATCCTCTTCAAAAAAAGTAGTGGAGGAGGGATTTTGCTTCCACTCTGCACAGTAGTCAAGTATTTGTGGCACAGCAGTGTTACACCAGAACATTCTCCTCTGTCACCCTCAGCTCTGAGTCATGCTGCTTGGAAGGCAGTTGTTGTTTGTGACAAGAACAATTCCTTAAAATAGTTGAAGTTTGCACATTTGCACTGCTTTCCTTTTGGCAGCAGGTAGACTGATACATACAAATAATCCTTTTTCCCATGTAAACCTTCAAACAAATGTTCGGTTTGTTTTCAGGTACCAAGTGTGCTTCAGCACAGCACGGGGTTTCCACTTGCTTAGTCAGAAAAGCTGAAGCAGGAAAGTAATGCAGACAGCATTCAGTCTGATGCTCAGTAGGAAGTTTTGGGTAGGAGAAAAATGAGTTCAATGTGTCCAAGTGTTGACGAGGTTCACGCAGTGCTGGGTGTTGAGGGAACCTGACCCCCCCAACACCACCGCAACCCGATGGCTGTGCTGAGAGGTGCTGACAGTGCGACATGCGTCAGAAACGACAGAGCAACAGGCAGGGAACTTCCTAACTCAGAGTCTGGTAGCGCATGTTGTATGTCCTACAGACGTCGGGCTGCTGTCAGCACGGGGAGATCTCAGCAGGAGGGAATGGCCCCAGCACCCACGTGCTGCCCAGCCACCCATAGTTGGAGCTCCGCAGAGCTCAGGGGATTTTCCTGTGTTTGTGGTCCTGGAATTCAGAAAGTGCACTTTTCTGTAAATGACATTAAACCACAAGTGAATGTGTGAAAACCTGGAAATGGATTTCTTCTAAAGCAACCAAACGTCTTTCTCTCCCCCTTAAGGCTTAGAATATCTCTGCTTCTGAGTGAGAAATGAAGTCACTCCATCTGGAGGCTGGCTCCATCAGATACAGCCCACCTTGCCTTTCGCTTGAGTGGGGGTCTTCAGTGGAACCACACATGGCACTCTCAGTCCTCTTGAGAGAAGGCTGGGGTTTTGAGGGTTTTTTCCCTCAGTGTCAAAATAACAGAAGCAAGGACAAACCCCCCTTTTTTCACTATTAGAAGACCCAGTAGTCATTCTCGCTATTTTTGCTAAAATCTTCTAAACTTTCCCATGTAATGTTGCTTCACCTACTAAATCGAGCGTTGCTTCTCACTACCTGTCTGTGTTTTGTTCTTCCTCTCCTGCGCTCCAGGGTGTGAACGGCATGTCTGTGGATGAGAAGACTGACTCCCCCATGTATGTGTATGAGTCAACAGTGCACTGTACCAATATTCTCCTCTGCTTAAATGACCAGCGCAAGCAGGATATTCTCTGCGACGTGACGCTCATCGTGGAGGGGAAGGAGTTCCGCGCCCACCGGGCTGTGCTGGCTGCCTGCAGCGAGTACTTCTTGCAGGCCTTGGTGGGGCAGACGGAAAATGACCTGGTTGTCAGCCTGCCAGAAGAGGTATGGTATTTGTTGCTGCTGCTGTGGTTTTGGGGTTGGAATGGGTTGAGGATCGCTGGGAGCTGGAGGATGAACACGTTCTCGCAGCCTTCTTCACTAGGGGAGAGCAAAACCTGCCAGCACTCCTCACATTTACAGCAGCAAAGCTTTAAAACGCTTCAGTATTTATCACTTCATTCAGCACATTATCAGTACCCGAATATTCTTCAGCTCTTCCAGACAGGAAATTTGAAGGGGGTCACTTGGCTGTTAGACAGCAGGTTATTGTTGAAAAGTCATTTGAACTGTCACATTGTTTGGAGTCTCATCGCTACCCACCCCTCTCCAGCAGTTCATATCCTTGTTCTCGTCTTTCCCCTTTCCTGTGTCCCATTCAGCCTTGCTTCCTTTCTCTTGTCTTCACAACTGCTTTGGGATTTAACTGTTTCAAGCCATGCTTTTTCTGCCAAGAAAGCACCAACACATTCTGTCAAAATGCAAGGCTTTTCTCATGCAGCATGGCTCACACAGCAGGAAGCCAAGGGACGTAGGAAATACATACCTCACTGGAAAGTTTACTTTATTTTACCACAAAATCTCACTGGCTGGCTTCCACCCCCACTGTAATTTCCTCACAGCTCTATGACTGCAATACTGCAGATACCATAGGGCATGCTGATGGCAGGGATGTGCAAGGGTTGTGGTCACCCCGTGCCTGCCTTGAGTCCCGACCTGTGCAGGTCACTCTGTGGTGGTGACATCCCCAAGGCTCAGGAAGGCAGTTGCTCTGGAAGGAGCTCTTCTGGCCTACAGCATGAGGCAGAGGGGTTTTCAGCATCATTTGCTTAACACCAATGAAGAAGTATGAGACCGTTTTAGGTGATGACAGGTCCTGAAGTGTCACACACCATTTTTCCCCTCTCCAATTTAGCTCTCTGGAGACCTCAGTGGTATTGTGATGTTGTTATGATGCAAGGTGGAGAGCACTGGAAGAAGTAGGTCACTGGGCATGACTTCACAAGTCCTGACACTGAGTATTACTCATGAAGAGATTTCAACCCAGACATTTTGCATAGGAGTTCACATATATCACAGAGGACATGCTAGGATGCACACAATGATTCGACACTGTCCACTAATAATTTCCAGTGGAAGAATCATGTCTCAGGCAGTGTTGCATAGCTTTTACCCTGCAAAGCAAAGTGGTGGAAGCAGAGAGGTTACAGTAGATGCCCAATGACTGACGTGCAACAAGAGCATCAGGGCTCTTCTACAAAGCCTTGGTGAGACCTCCTCTTGGATACCATGTATGATTTCTTAAATTGAGAACAATAATTGAAGAATGTGAGAGTGATTGGTGTTAAGAAGGACCCCAGCTTAAATAAGGAGGAGGAGAAAAGGCTATGGCAAGTTCATGCTGCCAGAGTGATGGCTGCAAGGACTTACAGTTCCATGTAGGCATAGCGGGTGAAACAGCTAAAAGGGGGAAGTTTCTCTCTAATAGTAAAAGACTGTTGACAGTAGTGATGGTTGATTGGTTTATGATGGCTTTTAGTTAAACTAGGTTAGCAGATACTTAATCACAGCAGCAGTGAGGTGTTGAGCCACTAATGAGTGTGAGGAGTAAGGTGACAGAGGGACCGTGCTTGCTTACCTTCAAGACCAGAGGATGGGACTTAATAACACAGTCCTGGGTTTATATGACACTGAAGATCTGAAACACAAAAATTTATCTTTACGTGTGTTTTATATTAGATGGTATATTAAAAAAGCATTCTTCCTTTGCAACCACAAATTATTTCTATTTAAATAAATCCCCTTTAGATAAATGGAGTATTGAGGTTTTATATTTTAGTATGTATCTCAAGATTGAAAAGCCTTAGTGAGTTAAGTTTACACTGTTTGCTGCTACAGCTCCAGTAAAGTCCCTGCTTTTGCATAAGCAGTCAAACCAGGTCATAAGGTTTTTTCCTTACTCTGAAATTGTGCTCCACCTCAGCACATGCCACAGTCACTTGAAGAGTCTTTACCTTTTCATAGCAGAAAGGAACATCCTTGGCCTATCAAAAGAGATATGCACAGTTACTAATTCGTAATTGCACATACATCTTCCACATGCACATGCATTGCTAGTAGCTCCATGGAGTCTAATTTGCTCAGTGACTAACATATTTGAGTAGTTGTGTGTGAGGTGGTCAATTAAATAATTTCCTTTAATCCTTAGATGTTAGTCACTGAGACTGACAAGAGCTGCCTGATGCAGATTGTGGCTTCTTGATAATTGCTTGGTTAAGGTGCACTCCTCTGCTCCTGCTGCTGCTCTTTGGGATGTATACCATGATAGTTTCCTGTGCTTAGATATGTGAAGTGTCTTCAATAATGAAGCGTGTCAGAGCTGCTTACAAAAGGAGCTGCAGCACCAGGGTTTTTTTGGAAGCTGATAATGTGGAGTAAAGAACCATCTTGTATATACTGCATTAAAAGAAGTTAGCAGAGTCTTTTTCAATTCACAAGCTAATGGCTCTTCCCATTGCTATTGTTTTTAGTCCATGGTCTGCAGAGCTCCAGAAACCCACGAATTATTTCTAAAGTTATATGTGAGAACTGACTTAATTGCTCACATAGAGAGTTATGGCAGCAGTGGAAAAAATTCAGACAAAAGTCAAAGTTAGCGTCAAGCTTAGAAACATCTTTCATTGGCATATGGTTGTAATAGTAAATCAGAGATCACAAATTGTTTTTAAATATAGTCTTCACAGTTCAAAACTTTCCCAAAGGTGACAAAACTCCTAAATTATCTAAGATATTTTTAAGTCAGTCATGCAAGAATTGTGTTTTAAATTCTGTTGTGGTCTGAAAACTGCTAAAGTACACAGTTATGGAGAATGACCATTATTATTTATCAAAGGCTTCATGTTGAAGCTGGGTAAGGCTTTATATATAAAGCTTTTGCAGTCATGTTATGTTGGCATGAGGAAACTTAACATGAAACAAAAGAACTTCTTTTTCATTATTCAGAGCAGTAAATCTGCCTCTGAAGACTGGATGGCAGAGGGTTTCTTTTTTACTTTATAGCATATTGGGGTCTTTTTTGTTAATCTGGCATCCAGTCCTTGTTAACTGTTGTCTAGCTAAACAGCGAACAGATGTTTTGTACATTATTTCTTGCTTATATCCAATTACAGTAAGTGCAGGCTTTATGATGTGCTCATCATTTCAGTAGTGACACATTCTGCACATGCAATATGTCTGTGCAGCCTAGTTGAGCTTACTGGATTTCAAACCAGTGTAAAACCTTGTTTTGGACATTTCATGTCACTTCAAGCATGACTTAATGTGCCTTAGTTAAAACCTTTTCCTAATCAACTTATTTAAACTGAGTCAGTATGGAGCTAATTTTGCACTGATTGAAGAGTTTCCATAAACCCTTTCAAGCCGACACCAGTAATTCAATTTCATGCTACACCTCTTTTTAAAGCAGCATATTTCAGTGTCTAGATAAGTGCTTGGAAAAACAGCCACGAAATAGCAAGTGCTCAAATGTGGTTGTGGCATGTGAAGTGACAGGACTCAGAGCCGAGACTGAGGGCTGAAGTGTGTCAGCTGCAGCTCTGTACAGCTCATAAAAAAGGACCCAATACTCTTAACTTCTACACTTTCCTCTTCATTTGCAGTTTTGGTAAACAACTACAATCTCATGTGCTTTTCACCCTGGGTATTTTATAGCAGTTTTGCTGTTTTCATCTAGCAGCTGCTGTTAAATGCATCCAAAAATTAATATTTTCCAGGACTCAAGTTTGAAGCTGTAAAGTTACTCATTTAATCCATACCCCTAACTGTTGTTTTGTTTTATTTAATCACAAAAGCTGGTCTTCCTTCCTTTAACAAGGCACTTAATTAAGCTTTTAATTCATGATAAGAAGTTAAATGGCACTTATGAGGCATTTTTAATGGTTTCCACTTCCCATCCAGATTACAAAAAAAGGTGTGATAGAGAGGCAGACACGGCTGTCAGCCAAGGGTATTGTAGGTCATGCCAATATTAGCTGGCAGCAGGCCATTATCCAATTAACATTGCTTCATCGCTGCAAGTAATAGCTCTTGAGTAGATGATTCAGTCATTCATGCTGTAGTGGTACTCTACTTTCCTTGAGAAAGAGCCACTACTCTGCAGAATAGGCTTTTTATTTGCTATTATTACCTGCCCGGCTTTTCTGTTAAAAGTGCACAGGGAGCAGGTCTGGCTGGGCAGGCTGAGAGCTGGGGGCTGGCCAGAATAGCACCGTCTGCACAGATATCGTGTACACCTTGCTTTCTGAAAACAGACTTCCCTTCAATGAGGAAAACATTGGAACAGCAGCAACAAACCTCCTCTGTTGTTTGTGATTCCTACATCTTGGAAATGAAATTCCCAAACCCGCGTGGGTTTTTGTGGCTTTGAGATGTACACATAAATAAAACCTTCATCAGGTAATTCCAGGTCATTCTTCTCTGTAGGAAGGGATGTGTGATGTGCTTGGGGAGCACTTTTGTTGACCTGCACTGCTCTTCCTTACAATTAATGGAGCAGTGTTCAAAGTAGAGGTCTGCTGGCATACACTGTGTGCTGAATTGCTCTGCGTCTTCATTACTTTTCTACTTACTTAAGGCTGCTGTGAAATCTGCTGTTTCCCTGTGAGGTCCAGCCCTGTGAAATCTGTCATCTGGTCCTTCAGCTGAGACAGGCTGGCTCCCTCACATAGTTAATCAGAAGAAGAAGAAAGGCAGGATGGGAGATAGATTTAGGCTCAAGGCTGGCAAAAGCTGATCGTGTTGGAAGGCTAAGGCATGCGGCACCCTGGGTGGGATGGAGCCAGGCAGCTAGCATTAGAATTACTCGGCGCTGATGGGGGAGAAATCCTGGCAGCTGTTAACTATCCATGCCAGCCCACCAGCCTGAGGAAAAAACACTGGGAATTAGCCAACAGAAGATGATCGGGTTCAGGGAAAAATCAAAGACAGAGTGCAAGAGGTCAGCTATT